TGATAAGCATTACTATAAAACGTTTTGATATTCGAGCAATCATTTTGACTTTCGCACAAAATTATTTTGATTATTGAACAAAAATTATTTTCATATTTAAATCCAGCAAAATTGTTCTTTTCGTAAATTATATGTTAAAAGTTACATTCTCAACATTTTTTTCTCTTTTATTTCATCGTTAATCTTAGAATTTTGCACACGTCAAGTTCAGTATTTCAACTTTATTAGGGTACATTGGGGTAATTTGAATAGTGGGATAATTTGGATAATAATAAGCATTTGGAAGAATTTCAGAAAAATAAGAGATTTTAAGATACATTTCATTATATCAATATTACTGTAGTATATCTAAATTATCCCGCTGTACCCTATATAAAAAAATTGGAATTTCTTAAATAACTCGATTTACTAAAGAATCACCTTAAAAGTTAAATAGCCGCACGCTAGTTTATTTCATATTTATTTTTATCGACTCCATTTTATTTACTTCATAATTATTTTTTCTCCAAAAGTGAAAAATTATCGAATCCAATAAAAGACTACCGATCACCAACGAACATTTGTCGTAGCAGGTTGCAGTTGCAGCTTCATTTCCGGACCACTCTCTCTCGCTCTTTCTCGCTCTTTCTCTCTCTCTCTCTCTCTCTCTCTCACCTTCCTCCCGTGCTTCTTTTACTTCGCTGTAGCGGAGAGACCTTATGTCTGCACGATAGTCCTTCGAGTAGACTGAAATCAGATTGGGTCAGATCAGGTTCGCGTATCCCGCCTTTTAAAACAAAAGGCAGCATCCTGGGAAAAATTTCTTCTCGACTGAACGGTTCACTATCTCCTTCCGTCCCCGTACAATTCTTCCTAACGGTCTTTAGTAGTCTAATACAATGTGCACGTGCGTCTAATCCAATAGTATATACGCGCGCGGCATTTTCTACTTCCTCATTCTATCACTTCGATGCTGATATTCTTCGTCAGAAGCCTTTCTCATTGAATATAAGTTAACAAACCAAAGTAACAATTTATTTTATAGAGAAAATGAGGAGCATCTCTTCCTAATTTTAAAGATAAATCGTACAGCGCAAAATATTAGAAATCATTTCGTTGTAGAAAGTCAAAAAAGCGAAATGTGTATTTGGGAGAAGTAGCTTATCCCAAAGATAGTTTCGCTTTTAACACGCAATCTCTTTTATATCATCATTTTTAGCACGTGTAATCTCCTTTGCATCAAGCGCCTTCCGCGCCACAGCGTTAATCAAACGACGCGGGCAGTTTTATGTGTCGCAGGTCGGTTTAATTTAACGTTACGCCACTGCCGACTGGCGTGACTGTGTGTGACTCGCCTTCGTCCGTTTCTGTCTGTCGACGCGCGGCTCGAAACTCGCGAGGTCTCGTCGCGTCTCTCGCGCGCGCACCGAGGAAGATCGAATTTGCGAAATGGCTGTGTATGAGGGCTGAATACCTGACGAGGTAATTCGCGAGGGCACCGCGCGCGCGCTCGCGCGGGCGTGGCGGGGGAGGGTGGAAGGGGTCGCGGGGAACGACGTAATGTCCCGTGGAAAGTAGAAAGGAAAAGCTCGTAAAGGGGGAAGCGAAATTCAAAGTAAATTTTCCAAAGTAGGCGGCGGTGCATTACGGCGGAGCGCCGTCAATCGACTTTATTAGGTAGAATATAGTTGTCGTCAGACGTGCGGCAACAGACATCGCGTTTAGCCGCTTTTGCAAAGCGAGCTTCACGATCCGTCCTACCCCGAATCCTTGTCTCTGAAGAAATAACGTTGGCGAAAATGTGAGATAACAGTACACGTCCAATCCGCGCACCAGTTTTGTCTCCGTCCGTACATAATAAAATTCGTTTGAAACGAATGGACGGAACTGAGCTCTATAAGTACTTGCGAATTCTGAATTTCTTAATGCCGTATCTTTTTTTTTTGCGATAAAGTTAAATAAAATTTCTTTTAAAATCTAAAGATTAACCACGGGGAAGGAGGGCCTCACTTATCCATCTCGTGAATCTTAACTTGACGGAAGCCGAACTTTTTCATTTGCAATGTTAAATATCTTTCTGGTTACAATTTTCATCAAATCTTCATTAAGCTTTAAAAAAATCGATTCCGCATATTACGTGCGGTTGCGATAAATGCGGGACATGCAGGCTTTACACGTTAAAGTCCACGGAATCGAGAGCAAAATCGTATTACATTTAGAACGTCGCGCATTAAATCCTGTACATATATATACGTTCAATTGACAATGAGCATCGCCGCTCCTAATTGCGGAATTTAATCAACACGTAGATTTTTTTTTGTCACGGAATCATCAAACGTATTTGAGTAGGATAAAGGCGATATCGATAGAAGTAGAAAATCCAAGGGGTTCGCAAGGGTGAGAAAGAGAGAGGAAGAAAAAGAGAAGAGAAGACAAGAGAGAGAGAGAGAGAGAGAGAGAGAGAGAGAGAGAGAGAGAGGTGAAGGGAAAAAGCGTGGAGAGAAGAAGAGGCGGATCGCGCGTTTTTCATCTGCGAAAATTAAGGCGGAATCTTACCGGTGGTAAGAAAGTCCGTGCTAATTAAGGCTGTTTCTTCGGAGATTCCCCTTTCGCGGCCGCGGCGCCCCCCTCCGCCCCTTTTCTTCCCCCTCGGCTTTTAAATAAATTATACCGAGTTAAAAGCCTCTTCGCACTTCCTCAGATAATCCGCGGGGCCGTTTCGCTCGCCGAAGTTATACCCGCGGGAGAAATCTCGTGTCGTGGTGGAAAAGGACGAGGAGCCGTTCTTTCCACCACCTCCCCCTCCCCCTCTCTCGCTTACAGAGGGTTATACCGCGGGGCCATAATGCGCCGCCGAGTGATCTAACGCGGGAATACTTTCTGCTGCAATTACGTTATAAAGCAAACAGGAATGCCCGTCCCCGCGGCCGTTCTTATCGCCCGGGGTTTTCTTTACGAAAATGCGATTAGCCTTCCCACCCCCCGCCCTCAGTCGAGCCAAATTCAATTATCTCCCGCGCGTGTGGCGATCAGCGACGCTTGCGCTAATCTCTTTTTGCCCGATAAATCGCTAACCCGTAAATGGATTTATTGGAAATGATTATCCGATAATAACCGCGCGCGCGCGCGCGCGGTATCCAGGATCTACGTTTCTATAGAAAATAAAATTTTACGTTACTGAGAAAATCGCACGCGTTGTGTGCGAAGGAAATACGTTATTACGACAATTATGAAACTGTATATCGCGTCGCTGGAGGACGAAAATTCCACGGCATGGGAAAAGCGTTGGTTAAGAGCGAAATTGTAAACACCTCAGGTCGGCTTTTCGGGCTCTCGAATTCTTCGTCTTTTGTAGGGTATAAGGCGCCGCCGTCGAACCGACGCGACGCGGGCGAGTCATCGTTAACGCCATTGTTCTCACGGTACTCTCCCGGCGCGTTAAGAGCGGTCCCGCGCGGCGCTTTCGAGTTAAGTAGATGTTTCTCGGTACGTCGGGTGCATTTTTAAATAATTCGATGCAAAGCAGCCGAGAAAAGGCGCGCGAATTCCCTCGTACAGCCGAGAGAAAGGTCCCGGAGAACGGACGGGGGGAAGTGCGGGGGAGGGGGAGGGCTGCGACACGCGGGCGAGGGAAGAGAAAGGAACGAATGGAATTTCCGTGGGATTCGCTCCTCCTCGCGGCAGACGTGGCTAGAAAGCGCGAGCGATTCGGAGCGACTTTTACAACTTAATTTTTGCGTATTTGCGAGCTGCGCGACGACGACGACGACGACGACGACGACGACGACGACGAGGCCGCGGGTTGCTGGCTTTTGCGGAAGAAAAGTAAATTTTCCGACACGTTTGCTCGCGCACATGGCGTCGCGTTCGTAAGCAGCGACGGCGTGTCGCCCACCGGATTTGCGTCAGAATTTTATTAATTTGCCACCTGCCAATTTAACGTTTTTTTTTTTTTTTTACGAAGAAAAACGAAGATGAGTTTAATCAGAGTTTGTTAACTTTATCTTTATTGACTGCCCGACAAAGGAGTATATCTAAAGTTGAAGACTCGCGGTCAATAATAACATTCCGTAGAATCTTCGAGGGGGAAGACGCGATTTCAGTTTGGCCGAAGAAATTTCTCGCATCCCGAGAGCAAAAAGATGCCCTGCAACATTTTGTATCAGAAAACGCTACGCCGCGCCGTTTTATCCGCGATGCGCGAACACGGGCAACGCATTATTTCTTTTCATTATAATTTATTACGCTTATTTCGAGACCTTACACGCTCCCTCCGAGATATTATATTACACCTTCTTCCCGCGTTATCTAAATGTAGAGAGGTTCCTACGAGCTGACTATCAAGTAGTGAAGATAAATGCTAACTCCGACCATAAGATATCACTCGATAGGTATACCGTGGCGCACTTACCAATACCAACATCCCTGTCCTTATAGATTTATATAAATTTCCATTTTACTGTAGATTGCGACAGAATGTAAATGAAAAGAAAAAAAAATTGAACTTCGACAATCGTTTAAAGATATACGATCAAGCACGTAACTCGTAATTCTTTGAGACATTATATCCCGATTAAAAATATGTCTGTACAAGCGTTTCGCATACAAGAATCGAATGGTCGACAAATGGCCGACTAATTTGTCCTTCACGTCAATTCCAAATCCCACAAATTGCGAATCAGATTGCTTGTACAGGTTACTATGTAAGACGGTGCGGTTTCGAATGGGAGCTGACTATCAAGTAGCAGGGATGGATGCCAGGGCGAACGGTATTAACCACTCCACCTATTGGTATTGGCACGTGCACGCGGAGAAAATATTGCCGAGTCGAGAATTCGCGAATAAATCTAAATAACCTTCGTATCGGGATACCGCAGTCTTTCGTATCTCTCTATCCCGCGTATTTATTAAAAACAGCAATGCACCGGGATGATTTTTCCCCGTGCTAACGGGATATATTTTACCTTTTTTTTTACAGTCGAATAAAAGGGAAGCTCGGGGGTAAAAAAAGGGGGGGGAGCTTTCATTTATACTTTATTCTTTAACATTCAAATATCTGAATATAAAATACTGGACAGATTTATACAATCATATTATACGTAAATCGGTGTAGAAAACTCGTAAGTAGCAATATCGGCTTAATTCAAGAACTGCTATTCGTATATAAAGATCAATGAAATTATTAAATATGTGAGATACTGTGAATATTTCAATTTACAAACATACTCCATAAGAAAGAAAACTTATCCGCGACTTATTGGTAAGATTATATATTATTCTTTTTTTCTTCGACAAATATATTTTACTTAGCCGAAGTAACGAATGACTTAGTCTGCGAACACGTTGATTCGTAATCGATGATCAGCCGTGTGTTCGACCCTACACATGTCTCGATTATGAGATCACGAGGTTTATTAGAAATGTAACTATTTTAGCCATCGGTCGCAAGTCAATCGTTGCATACCCTCAAAAATATCAGGCAGCATAATTTTTTCACGTGGTACCACTTATTATTTAGCAACAAAAATTTGCGGGTAAAAATACGTAAATAAAAATTCGATCTACTCGTACTTAAGGCCGATGCAAATTTTGTGCAAAACGGAAAACTATAAAATTGCCAAAAGACATACCTCCATTCTCATTTTGCATAATTTAATTATCTCTTATTCGCGTATTACCTTCCACTTCTCTGTGAGCACCGAACAGGATCGAAGCGAATGCACGAACACTTTTGCCAGGCGAACCGCAGAGGGCACCGCGACACACATAAAAAAAACGAGTAATTCCAGAAGTAAGAGTCCGTTTTATTTTCTACCGCCGCGCTTCGTCAATCCAGATCCAGCATTTCCCCGGACGTGAAACTGTCCCCGCGATCGTCCTTCTGACTTCTATCAATGTGACCGTCGGGCGACAGATCTTTGCCGGCTGGGCGATTACCGAAATTCAGGAAATCCGAACAGGGACTGCCAGCCTGCGTATGTTCGAAAAACGTTCTCTTTATCGTCGCTCTTATAGTAATTATTTTCGTAAGTGTTTACTTGAAGCAAAAAGTTGTCCGCGTCATTCTCCAACGGCGGCTGCCGGTGGTGCAATCGTCGCGGCGACATGGTCGGGCACTGCTGCAGAGCGTTATCGGAGAGGTCCATCGTGTTCTGCAATTAAATTTCAAATATTTCGTCGAATAATTAGAACGCCGTGAGCACTTTCACTCGTATTTATCCCGTCATCTCATCGTTATAAATTATAATCGGTAAACCACGTCGCAACGCTTATAAATTAATGATTTATTATTTTAAGCTTTTATTACTTTTTACGATAACTAAACAAAAAAACGTATATTATTTTACTTACGAATTTGGATTTGTCATCGATAACTTTAACAATGTCGCCTTCCTCGGTCGTAGTGATAATGCCAGTGCCGAGTTTTTTACCGAGTATCTTCACCTCCTTCTTACATCCCTCGGACGTGTCGGCGACATTAGGTACGCAAGCATTCTGCATGGTGTTCTTGAGGAACTGCTCGTAAGGACTGAGGAATCTGGTATCTTGATAGTGCGGGGCCATCAAGTCGTGACTGTGATTCTTCGGTCCCAGGATCTTCACCTCGTTCAGGCTGGGATATATCTTCGGGGGTGGCAAGCAAAACTTGTCACTGAAAGACTGTGAAATTTGTCATATAAATAAATATGTCACACATAAACAGTCACATAAATACACTGAGAAAAAAATTGATTGTACGAACTGAATTTGTATAGTTGTTTGATCCAATGGTTGATTCAACAATTCTTTAGTTGCACAAAGAAAAATACAGTTCATTCATGTCAACCATCAAAATTTTTAAATCGAGAATTAACTAAACCAAGTTATTTTATTCGAAATACTAGCAGTATTTATTTGTGTTTGCACGCTATTTAGTTATCCAAGTAATATATTTGTTCAAATTCCAAATATTAAACTGACTAAACGATGCTGATGGGAATAATAAATTAGTTTGTATTTTTAATCGAAACGATTGAGTTAAATACGATCAATTTTTGTTGAAACAAAATAGTATTTTAGTTTAAAAAAATAGTATTTTGTTTATAATAGTAACAAATTATTTTGTGTCATTGCAGTAACGTTTAGTTGATCGTATCGAACTAAACATTTTGGTAAGATGAAACAAATTTTGCGTTTTGAACAAATTTTTTTTCTCAGTGTATAAATGTGTAACGCGTGTTCTCAATGGGTGCTTTCCATTTAGTGACGCAATCCCGACACAAGTATCGTTTTGTCTTTGTTACTCACTGAATGCTAAGAATAGAACGATGTTTGTTTCGACTTGTGTGTCACCGAATAGAAAGCACCCAATGGGAGCGTCTAGCTCGCAAACAATAGCCAAACGACTTGTACCTTCATACACGATTGACCTCCGGACTCGAGTATCTTCATGTCCGATTGGCTGAAGGGCATTAAGCCGGTGTCGCAGTCATCGTCGAAGACCGAGGGCAATTTCATCTTCGGGTCGTAGTCCGAGTGATGATCCTCCATGGTGGAGACACCAAGAATGTTTAGATCCTCCGTGAGGCTCTGACCGCTCTTTAGATACGGTAACGTCTCGCTCAACAACGACAACGGCGGATGGTTCTTCATTAACAGAGACGATAACGAGGACTGCGAGCTGGCGGACAGGTTCGAGGGATGACCCAAAATGCTCGTTAGATCCTGCTGGTTCGACGTCACTGCCATTACTGGAATCAATAACCATCGACAAGTTATAAGTCGTATGCCGGCTTCAGCATGAAATCTAACGTGTCTCGCGAGACGTCGCTATATAGCGTCGCTAATAAACTTGCGTATACATTTGTTCTTTTTTACATTAACTCGAATTCTTTTAAAATCAATTATTGATTACTTAAATTACAAAAGGGCTGTGCGTTCTCAAATTGAAAAGTTAGCTCTTACTTGAGAAAATGTGCGCAACGATCGTCCTAAAAAGGACCTTTGTAAATCGTGACATTACGGACGCCAATTCACCTACCGTCGTCGTGCCCGGTGAGAGCGCCATCGCCATCGATAGGCAGCGATTTGGGACCCAGCAGGAGATCGTCGATTTTCGTCTGGGAGAGGAATGTCATGCCATCCACGAAACGATCGTCGAGGCTTTTAGCGTCGAGAATTCTAATGTCTCTATCCTCGAGGATCTCGATGCCGTCCATTGGCATACCGCCGCTGGCAGACCTCTGGCCGGATTCCAGCACCATGATCTGGTTATCGTTGTCGCCGATGATGATATCACCGTTATTGCGTATATTCACGAGATTGATGGCGTCCGCCTGTTCGCCGTCAAGAATCGTTACGTCGTGGGAATTCTGCGCCATTAAGTCGCGGGCCTCGCTGTTCGTCATGACCTGCAGCCATAACGCGCCCCCCCGTAAGGGCATTGAACTGTGTTTAAAGCTTCGTCATGATCGGAATAATTTATTACGATAAGGCGAACTGTGTGACACGTGCGCGAAAATATGATGAAAGTGGATTTTTCGGCAATTCCTACAGTTACAAAAAAAAATCATATTTCTATGTAATAACAAATTATGATTATCTTACCTTGTGATATTATATGCAAAACAAGATCGGTTTAAATCGAGGGCTTAAACGGAGATAGATTCTTTATAAGATTTTAAACAGGATTCTCTCGTATGTCAATTTAAATTTTACCAGTGGAAATCAATTAATTTTCCAAAGTTACTTTGACAGAATTTGGATGGAAATTAGGATTTAATTAAAACTGATGTATTTGAAGTCTATCGATATAGAGGCTGAAATTAATTGGGTTCCCAACGGCTAATTTGAAGAAGCGCCAAAGATAAATTCTAGCTAGTATATAACCCTATAAGAACGTTACACACAGCACGTTTCGCAAACGCCGGCAACGCCGGCAGTTCTCTAAATAGAGAACTCTATGTAAAGGCGTGAAGGCGCCTGACGTGAATACTCCCGCATGTGTCGCGCGTACTGTGGTAGGTCGGAAAGTCGATCGAAAAGACGTCGGGCGCCGGTAATGCCGGTTCTGCGTAAAGAAAAGTACGTCGCCCTTCCAAAGATAAAGATGTCGAGAGGCGATGTTATACCTTGGAATTCGTGTGCTCTTACATGAAATTCCCGCCACATCAATCGTCCTCTTCTCATTTCTTACTTGTCAAATTTATCACGGCAATCGGCACTCGAGAGAGAGAAAGAGAGAGAAAGAGGGGGAGGGGGGGGCACAATTATCACAGAGAATATTTCATCTGAAAATCTTTCAGAGCCCGCGGAAAATATGGCCGCAGAAGTAATTGAATTAAACTGCAAGGGAAAGTTATTTTAACAGTTTCAACAGAGAATATCATCCCGTTCCCCGAAACGTGATTATTACCGGACGCGCCAACGCAGCTTCGTGCCGTTGAATGTGGTAATCGCTTCTACATTACCTCGTAACGACCGTCCTCCGTGGCGCGAACAAACTGTATTCCACCCTGCGCGGCCAGCTCCAGTAACTCGTTGCACTCGTCCATCGACGTGGTCGAGCCCGGACCGTTCTGCCGGTGGTCCGGCTCGCTGCGATGATTGTGCACGGTGGGAAAGAACTGCGAGTCCAGCGCTGTCACCAGATCATCTGATGACAACAGATTAAAGAGAGGAGGAGCGCACCACCCGCCTCCCCATCTTGCGTCGCAAGATTGACGAGAGGGCTTACCTTGCTCCTGCTCCGCGCCGGGTGGCTCGACGACGAAGCTGGACCTGCCGTCGGGCCCGATATTCTGTATCACAGTGGCGACCACCGGTACCTTCACCTGAACCGCCTTACTACCGTCGGCGTCCGAAGTCTCGGTGGGATTCAGAGTTATTTTCCCCGCCATTCGCAAATCCTCGGCGGTCGCAGGTGTAAGTATCTGTGATAAATGATGTGTAATTGCCAAGTGCGACAACTGAACACGTCCAATAATTTAACGTTAGTAAATTAGCATTTAATTAATATGCCTAGGGGGAATTAGCGTTTGCAACGGGTCTCATTGTAAGACTTAAGAGAGAAGTTGTGCCGGGATTATCCACAGTAAAGTAAACGAAACAAATATACCCCGCAAAACATGCAATCTACGTGCTGTAATATCGGACATGTGACTCCTAATAAATTTTTTGCAAGATCAACTCTAAATTCCGAGCTTCAAATCAAATATATTAATGCAGAAAAATGATAAGCTATCTTAAGAAATTAAAAAATTTTATTTAACTTCATGCACTATAACGTTGACATTTAATTTATCAATTATGAATAAATTTTCATTTCATTTCTAAATAATTATTGTACTGTTTAAGTAATTGTTCTATAACTATTCTAATTGTACTACTATTGTACACCATTTTGTCATTATATTACTCGCGTGGTTTTTCAAATAACACGAATAATTTTCGTGCTCGCCTATCTTTCTTTCGCTAAAAAGTTAAATTCCCGAGACGATTTAATTATGATGGCAATTAAAGATTTAATTATACTGCAGGAATACTTACATGCTTGTTGCTCGCAGTGGACGAAATTTTAACGAGTACCGGTATACCTTTCGCGGGTTTGTAAAGGGCGAAAGGAGTCTGGCCCTGGAGCAATGCCATTTCCATCGCTTTCGTATCGATTTTGTTTATCACGATGCTGTCCATCAAATCCGACTTTCATGAAATAGGATTCCAAAAACTAATTACACAATCCGTAATTTCGTTGTATTCATCGTAAATCAAATATACTAACCGAGCCGAAATAATCTTTCTCTTTGCTCTCACTCGTTTGACTCCGGTCGCCGTTGTACAACTGAATGATCCTAACGTTCTTGCTGAAAATGTACAATTACACACATCGCGCGCTGAAATATCTATAATTAAATCAATTTTACATCGCGTGAAATAATAATTAAATGTACAAGCGCTTTGATCGTCCGCCTAGAGTCTCTGCGGGAAATAAACTAATTAAGAGATCTCTCTCTCTCTCTCTGTGTCTCTCTCTCCCTCTCTCTGTACTCACAGAAGAGATCGACCTGCAAAATTATAACTGATTGCCTTTCTTCTATTTTTGCGGTACCTTTTCTTTTATATCCAACAAAAATACCAATCGATAGTCTATAACAGGGAGCTCGATATTTTTAATTAAATGAGTTTGGAATTCTGTTCGCATTGTATGGATATTCGCGGGGGATGGCACGACGAATTCCAGCGATTTTTTTTTTCAGATCGTTTATACATTTATTGCGCCAATGGCCGCGCATTGTACATCGCACGGTTAACTGTCACAGTCACTTTCTCACGTACCTCTTGCCGGCGTTGGGCTCGTTCACGGCGGATTGCACGTTGCTCGTGCTCCGATACTTAATACCATGCTTGTACTCCTCGTGCGAGCGCAGGGCGAACCTGCGCGGGAACTCCTTCCCGCAGACTCCGCACGAATACTGCATCTTGTCGGCGTGTGCGTGCGCTTTCACCTTGTGACAGACCAAATTCGACATCTGATTGAAGCCCTTGCCGCACAACTCGCACTTGTACGGCCGCTCGTTCGTGTGCGTGAATACATGATTCCGCAAATTGCCTGAAAAGGACGTTGATTGTCAGACTTTTTAACGGCCATGTACATGCGCTTTGCACGTCAGATAACGTAAAAAAAATATACATATATATTATAAAATCACTGGCATGAATAAATATAAAGAAAAAAGAGGAGAAAGAAGATTTAACGACATACAGAAATTCTTTCCGATTGAACGAATTTGTCGCGACGAAAATAATAAGGACAATAGATCATTGTGTAATTTATATTTGTGCATGTTATACCTTTTTGATGAAATCCTTTACCGCACACGTGACACTTGTGCGGCTTGTGCTCCGAGTGCGTTTTCCGATGGGAGATTAATGTAGATACTCTAAAATATGTATTATTTTGAAACCAAGCGGCAAGTCAATTTTATAAACAAATACTGAAAATTCATTGCCCGCAGTTTAAATAAGGTAAAAGTTGCGAGTAAGTTAACTAGAGATGATTTACCGACCTGTTAAATGTTTTCTTGCAAAATTCGCACACATAGGGTCTGGCGTCGCTGTGTATAGCTTTATGCTGACTCAATGTTGACAACTGTCGGAAAGCCTTGCCGCAAGCCTCGCATTTAAAGTTTCTCTCGTCGGTATGAGTCGGCAAGTGTCTCATCAGAGTGTACTGATGGCGAAACTCTTTCGAACCTGATGGGAATATTAAACGTTCAAAGTTTCTTATAACGAAAACACGCTGTCGGGCCTCTCGAGTCGACGTTAAAAAGTAATTACTCGCTACGCTGTGAAATCGAATGAGAAATCTAAATCACATTTTTCACGAAAGAAAAAGATTTGTCATTTTTTTTTGTAACTTTTATTTCTTTTTTTTTCGGTGTAATTATTTTTCGGCATTATTAGCTGATAATAATAATATTAAGAATGTAATTAAGATATATATTAAGAGATTACCATTCGTAAAAAGTATTCTTTATTAAGTAAATAGATCAAAATAGATTCTGTTATTGTAATGCAGTGAGAAGCTTTACGTACAAATACCGCATTCCCAGATCTTGAGCGTCTTCCCATCGCGTTTCAGATATTTTACAAAGTGCAGCCTGGATCGCGGATCATCCTTGTCGATAAGACGGGTCGTCGAGGGCGAGGGTCCTTCAGCAACAGGATGCGAGTATACAACCACATTCTTGTCTGGCGCGCTCACGCTTTGCTCGAAGATCTGAAAAGGTCGTACTTAAAAGAAAAAAAAAAATAAAGCGCGGAAAACAAAAAAAAAGGATCCACAAAGGATTCGGCGATGAGGAAGTGCTGCAGAGTTAAATGTCGCTTACGCGAAAAGCTCGGTGGCACAATTTCAAGGATTGCGCACTATGCTGCGTAAAAATACAGTTTCCAACAATACTCCCGCAATTATGCATCGCGATGTAGATAGGTAAATACTTGGTGCATAAAACTATAGAAACGGGCGTATGCAAATGACAGTCTTCAAAATGGGAAGAAGAAGAGAAAGGGACGAGCTAGATAAACCGAGCGCGACGCCCGCCGTCAGGTGGCAATATTTCACGTAAACTGCCGCGCGTATAACGATATGCACTCGCTCTCGGCAAACAACTTGCCGCGCTAATAGTTCGACAAATATTTAAGATACCTTACTTTGGCACTTACTTTGTACCGTAACGCGTCCTTGCCGCCGACGAGCTTCGAGACGGCGCTGTCGATATTGATCACCTCGGAATCTATAGCCGCATCCAGGTCCACGCACTCCTCCTTGATAGTAATTTCACTCGATAGTAAATTACTACTCTCATTGCTAAAACTATTGTAGCGATTGATTACTTGGTGGGCCAATTGGTGATTGGCGACAGATGATCCCGAAACGCCCGACATGTCACCGTTCCTCGGTTCCGGACCCGCGTCCTCCTTTACGTAAACCTCGTAAACGCTGCGTCGGTCGCCGCATTGGTCGCCGCATCAGTTTCATAAATTAACGGGATTAACAACGAAATTACAACGTGCCACGCTTTCTCTCTACTACAGCAGACTAAGATTTTTTTTATACATAGGAAAATTCATCTAAGGAAAGCTGAGTAACTCAATAGATATTATAAGAGAAGATATTTTTTACATAATAAATTGTACGATTTGATAATTATACTTTTCTTCGTGATATCGAAAGAAAGTACGGAACTAATAGCGGAATTATAACGTGTTTCTCTACTGCAGCAGACTAAGATTTTTTTTATACGTACGAAAATTCATGTAAGGAAAGCTGAGTAACTCATTAGATATTATAAGAGAGAGATATTTTTTACATAATAAATTGTACAATTTGATAATTATACTTTTCTTCGTAATATCGAAAGAAAGTACGGAATTAATAGCGGAATTACTATGTGCCACGTTTTCTCTACTGCAGCAGACTAAGATTTTTTTTTATACGAACAAAAATTCATCTAAAGAAATCTAAGTAACACTAGTTCACTAGATATTATAAGAGGAGGGATATTTTTTATATAATAATTGTACGATTCGAATAATTATACTTTTCTTCGTGATATCAGAACAAAGTAGTTCACATCCGTGCTTATGCCGACTACTTACGCGAACGTTGCGAGCTCACCTGATAACTTCGTCCGGAATGGGACGAGAAAATTGCACTTGCGGATCGTCGTACTGAGTTTCCCCTAAGAAGTCGAAAAGCACACTTCATGAAGAAATTGTTTTTATCACAAAAAATAATTATGATGCTGTACCGTACGGACACTTTGTATCGCACGTGGGAAGCACATCTGATATTCCGAAGTAACTTTATTTATTTCGCAAACATGAACTTTATTATTCTATAATACAATCGAATGCTTTGTCGAAGAAGCACGATTTTCGCTGCAATCTATATTTTTAAGAATAGAGCTTTTCCATCTTTTAAAAAAATACCTGAAATGGCCCCTGTTATATTATTATTATCATAATTCTATAGCAACAATAGACTTATAATCGGTATAAAATTTAACGAAAGAGAATAAAAATACTGCGAAGTGATTTTTCACTCTCAATGTCCATCCACGACGTCAATATTTTTCGTGCTCGGGAAGAAATACGTTTGTGATATTATTGTTTGTGGAAGAATTAATCGAAAACTTTCCGCTTTTGTTACTGCTCCGAAATTCCTTGCGGGAAGAGAGAGAGAGAGAGAGAGAGAGAGAGAGAAAGAGAGAGAGAGAGACCCGTTTGTTTGGTAACGTAACCGTCTAATCGGCGGACGGCATCTCAAGCGAGATAATGCGATACAATCGTATCAGTACAGACAACATGCACGCGCGGCTCTCGTCTTATACGCAGCGATATTACATCGTGTAAACATCTGTCCCGAAGTTTCGTCGCGCTCATAAATTATGCATCGAGGTTCACATGTATGTACAATCGACACTCATTTTACATACTACATTCTGTGTTAGTGGATGACTGTTAATGGATAGACAGTTATATCCGTGGCCGTTGTCAAGTTAAAATAATTACATAATGCCGAATTTAACGCCGAAACATCGAGGCTATATGAAGTCCGGATAGATTTAAATATCAACGGCAGTTAATTGCAAAAATATCCGCGTTAATTAAAACCAAAGCCCGTGCGAAGAGCAAATTAAGAGAATATAATCTAATATAATTAATCTACCACTGGCACACACTTATGAATACAATCTATTTCTATTATTCGTGTGCATAAAACATATATTCTATTACTTTTAATTAAACATATCCATTAAAAGTACGGGCTTTGCATTACATTATATTTATATAAATTACTGACATATTTCTTTTTTTTTTTGGTTTTGTGTTTCAGAGCATTTTACTCCGAAATACTTCCGCCGTGCTCTACGATTACCAGCCTACCGGGCACCGCTGCATACACGAACGGCAGAAATATAGTCAAATAACGCCGTCACACAATCGAGAAAGAAGCGTACTGTGAACGGCATCTTGCAGGAAACATCAACGACCTTCGAGGACCTTCCACAAGCCAGAGGAATCGTCCTTGGACGACGCACGACGAATACGGTATGACGTGTTAACTCCCCCTCCCCCCCGCCCCCCCATTCGCCGAATAAATCGAGACACGATTTTTACATAAATCGAAAACGCGGCGTGTTCCTCTCCTTTCCTCGCGCGACCGATCCACCATTAGACGTCACCGTCGCATCGCGATTCGCGATTCTCGTGGGCCCTCCTCGGCTTGTTTTGTCTGGCGTCAAATAAACGAAAGCCGCCATTATCAGAGCTCATTTTTCATGTGGTGCAGACGGTGCCCGCTCGGCGGATCCGCGGGTCTTATCGGCGAGACGGAACGGGGCGAGAAACGGTTATGGACGGTTATACTTACAGTTGTATCCTTGCAGCAAATTGCCGTGCGACATTTTCACATCGATCGTCCCGTGGTCCCTGGCCGACTCCTGCCCCCCTCAATGTCATTCGCATTGACCAGATTGACCTCCATCGGATAATTCCGGGAATTAGGCGAAAGAACGAGCGCCCTCTGCCGGACTCCGCTGAACCTAGCGGCCAAGCTTTAAAAAGAACCTTTTCGTGCTGACGCTCGACGCTCATTTTTAGCGTCAGAACAGATCACACGAACAAAAATTGACGAGTACCAAGTATCAATTTTGATCGTGTGATTTGTTTTGACGCTAAAAATGAGCGTCGAACGTCAGTATGAAAAGGCACCTTAAGGTTCGCGAGTGGTTCGACAGGAGCTTGTCTTACCTTTTCCTCAGTGATATTTTTATTCTTACCCATCGCAAGCCTCTTCGTTCTTCGTGCAAAAGAAAAAAATTCGTCGAAATGCAGATCGCCGACTTCTTTTTTGCTCACCTTCTGCGAGCGCGAAGAATCGTGTGCGATTAAACAAAAAGGTACATTTTTTTATATAAATAAAAGGACATAATAAAAGTCCGTGAAATTTAGACGGAAAATCGGAATATCTCCGATCAAGAGGAAACCGCGGAAAAAATCATTGACTTAACAGGAAGCGTATACTGAATTACTCAAGTATCTAAATTTGAGATTTTTGTAAGTTTTTTTTAGCACCAATCTTATTTCTCTCTCTCTCTCTCTCTCTCTCTCTCTCTCTCTCTCTCTCTCTCTCTCTCTCTCTCTCTCTCTGTCGCCGCAATCGAAAGCGCGGGATATTTGCGTGTACAGCATTAATATGCCGGAAGGAAACATCTGTACTCCATTCGATCGGCGACGAACCAACGGAAACCATCCCACGAGCCACGACCGAAGAAATACTCCCTCTTCCCTTCCCCCGTTCCTCACCCCTCCTCCTCCTCCTCCTCCTCCTTCCGCCCTGTTTTCGAATTCCGGTCAGGTATGTCGGCGCAGCGGCGCTTTCCTACCTACCGACATGGACTCCGCTATACTTGCCCGACTCAATTATGACTTGCTACTTCTTGTTAGCCGCTGTTTAAGTTACTCCGGCTTTCCTGCCTTCCTGCCTCTTGCCTGTCCGCGTCCTTACTCGAGTCAGCCGAGTCGCCTGTCAGTCTCCTTTCTCTCGCGCGGACGCTGAGGCATGCAGATTTTTTTTTCTTTCATATAGACGTCTCTTTTCGCTGGAAAGAGCAGACGTCTATGTGACGTTTGAAGCGCGCGACGGACTTTCATAATGCCTCACAAAGTTCTATAACTTTTAACGAAAATATTTGCAGCAGTAGAAAGTAAAGTTTTTTTTTTTTTTTCCAGAGAATATTTAATCGCGTATTTGTAACCTGCGACGAAATATACTCTTGAGAGCCGATAGCCAAATATATAAGCGGCTCGTTTTCCGTCTCGTCCGCAAACGTTTCGGCTGCGAAATTGCGTTACCTGTTGCTCTCGTAGTTACATACTTATACATACATATACGAATTTTAACTTTTTTTTCCTTTTATTCTTTTACAAAGATTTAATACTCGCAGTAAAATGCGATGTATATTATTCGGAGTGAGAGGCGTATCGCGTCCCGGCGCGCGGCGATTGGGTCCGCGCAGCGAAAAAAGAAAGAAGTGCTCGCGAACTATGCGCGAGTCTCGACGCGGCATCCGACGCCCGATGTTTGCCGGAGCTACTTGCAAACTGTTGAGGAAGTGACGGCAGTTCTCGCGCTGCGGGTGTTCTTACTGCGGAACTTGGGTCTCCTCGCGTTGCACGGGCGGAACAAAGCGCGTTTCCCCCCTCCCCCTTCTCACACTCTTTCTCTCTCTCGAATGACGTGAGAAACTGCATACACGCTTCCGGAATATATGTGCACACGGGAAATTTTAATACATAAAATATTCTGAATGAATTATTCGGTCCAAATCTATATATACGAACCAGAGATGGTTAAGTTGTCTGTACGAACGCGAATTCTTGAAACTGATTACATTTCGATGCCGCGAGTGGCATCATTTCTTCTTTCGAGAACGGCGGAAGTGCATCCAAACTTGATTTTGGAGCAATAACTTTTTCAGTTAACAGCTTAACAACTTTAGGGTTTAATTTTGCAAGTTGTACGAAAAATGGGTCAGGCGATTGTTGGGACGACTGAAAAGCTTTCGATTTCAGATATATATAGGATTCCACTTGAAGGCTGTACAGAGTGTTTCCTGCTTAATTTAAAGTTCTATACTTTTGCGCAAAAGATGCGCCTCGTATTTCGTAGACGAGACAACATTACGCGGGGTTATATTCTTTTGGTCTCCGCGACAAACTAACTTACTCGCGAGTTCTCCCCCGTCGGCGTCGGGGGAGGGGGGAGGGGGAGAGTATAAGCTTCTCGAATCGATCGACATTTTTCGCGGGACGTGAGATTTTCAAATGAAAGCGCGGTCATTAGAATGGGCGAAAGAATTGTTTTTCTCGGGGAACGTTTGATTTACCTCATCAGCGAGTTCTTAACTTCGGCAAGGGGCTTGAATGGCGGTCGGGGTGCTCGAACGAAACGCTTTTCACAAACTCAACTCGGCGAGTGGCTGCAGAAAGATGCGAGAATTTGTGAGAAAGCGGGAGGGAAAGGGAGAGAGAGAGAGAGAGAGAGACGACGGAGCTGCGAACGAAGGAAAAAGAGATGAGGAACGAAGGAGTTCGGGTTGAGAGAGGGAGGGGGAGGTGGAGAAGGATGGCAATTTGATTTTGCAACCTAGATAAAGAAAGCTTTCTTCCTCGTTATTGGTTACTACGAGTTCGAACCTCCTTTCCCGCTCCTTAAACTCGGAAGAATTTCTCGGTACGCGACGGGGGGAACCAGCCATGGGGGAGATAGCTCCCGCCCGACGTGAACTTTCTAATGCGATATACGCGCGCGCGGCGTAAATTACAGACGCGCGCGGCACGAAGATGCGTGACCGCGTGGTATAGATGCTCTCAGCGGTATCGAATGTTCGGCGAACGGCTGCGGCATGAGATGGATAGCCTTGTGTCGGAATGAACCGTCCTGCAAACTGTACAACGATGAATCATTGCCAGGAATAAGGAATGGGATGTCAAAGATACAATTCTCCCTCTTCCTCTCTCTCTCTCTCTCTCTCTCTCTCTTTCCGTATCTTGTTTCTTTGAAAAAGGAAGAGTAATATTTCAATCTTTTAGTAGTTATTTATCTAAGCATTTAAATATTTTAATCGATTTCTTGGAAATATAATCTTTCCCCAACAAGTTCCACTCATGCGAGTGTCGTCGAAATAGAATTGCCGAGCGGGATGTGATCCCGAGTCCAGGCCGAATTCCAGGATTCGCTGAAATAAGAATTCGCGGATCGTGAACGTGACGGATGTTCAGCCGGACATCATCCCCGCTCGTCTTCTCATGGACGACGTGGGGGATCGAGGAGGAAAGTCCCCTGATTCCCTTCCGAAGTGCCGATGGAGTCGGCCGACCCAAAAACAAAGCCGTAACTCGATAGAGATGTCATCCTACCGTCAAGAAACTCGTGGTGACAAGAATAGGGTGACTCACGAAGCCGCCACCGCCGATTCTCTCTCCCTTCCCATCCGCCTGTCCACCGAATCGTCCTTCCTCCCGCGCACCCTCGACGTTCACCCTCGCGCCCCGCAATGACCCGAACGACGACGACGCTCGTCTTCTCGGCGACCACGAACTGTCCAACTGTCCAAGTGCCCATTTTCGCGCCGAGCTCTGCCGGGAGACACCTCCATCTCTCTCCTATCGCGAATAATATCTCTCCGGGATACCGACAGGCACGTCTCGCGAGCTGCGAGTCCTGACAAATACGTAACCGCGCGCGGTCTCCCTCCCCCCCCCCGCATCCACCTCCGCATCATTCGAGTTTACCCTACCCAGAATGTACCGCACATATCTCGACGGGCGAATCTTTCGGAGGAATGGTATAGCAGTCGCGTCGGCTTCTATCGGCCGTCCGTCGTGCCCGTGTCCGCGTCGTTTGGTTTCCCATGTAACGACGCGGAAAGATCGCTCCCCGCCCTAATGACGTTACTTGCGGATCCCCACCTCCGGGACCTCGGGGTGGGATTCAATTACGGCAATTGTGCCAAGGACAAGGAGCTCGCGATGCATTTCGTTCGTTCGATCCTGAATAGAAAGGGCGAAAGTAAGATGTGACCTGAAAGGAATCGCGATGATGTTGAAGACGAAATTAACAGGAAAAAGAAGTGACATTTTCTAAATGTCGAACACACACGTACACGCACACGCGCGCACGCACGCACGCATATGCTTGACTTTTTCAAACTACTCGTCACACGGAAATTAATTTTCTTAATGGCCGTTCGTGCGTAAAATTTCGTTTTCATTTATTAATTTTCTTAATGGCATAATCTTCAGTTTACATCCAATTGCCATCGCTACTTCCGGGGATCAGATCGCGCCGCCGCGCCGCGCCGCCGCGCCGGGACGAACGAACGACGCGCATCCGCTTTAACGGAGCGGCTGTAAAAAATTAATTTTCTTAATGCAACACTATCTGCGAAATGGGGTGAATGCTGAGATTGCGAAATAATTAGTGTTTCCTCGGTTGGCGCCCGAGAACTGAAATTTCCAGGAAAATTCTCCGGGTATTAAGGCTCCCGCAGTCGGACTGTACAAGTTCCATGGGCGATTGCCCACCGGAATATTATATTATATATACATGTGCACGCTGGATGTATATATTTTTTTTCCCGCAGGTGTATGAAGCGCGCGCGCGCGCGCGTATGCGCCGCCGCATGTAAAATCGCGAAACTTTTACGATAACTGTAATGCCCTGGTTTAAAGCCACTCGATGTACTCGCAGCTTCTAGAATTGCTGTTAGCTAGATAATATTCGCCTCGCGAACTAGCGACCGACACAGAATTTCCCTATACGATACGTAATTCTTCGATATTATGCAAAATTCTTATTCTCTATTTGAAAAACATTAATTTCTTTTAACAAATATAATGAGAGGGGAAAAGAGCCAACTGCGGCTTTAAGTTCTTCTTCTTTACAGTGTTTTAGGAAAAGAT